TATATACTATATACACTGTAAAACATATGTGAGACACATAGTATATATGTGAATAATATTTGTACATATAGTGATTTTCGTAAAATCAAGTATATACAGTACATTACCGACCCCTGTGGTAATACTTTAAATAGGAAATCCGACTTTTTGTTACATTTATGATATTGTTCTTTATGTAACAAAATAATGAGAATTCTGACACATGAATAAAACACAAAACAGCGAAATAACACAGGCAGATACAACTGTGGCAGAGACATAAACAGGAAAATAAGGCAGACAGAGTATAGCTACACAATAGACTTGGTGCAGATGGGGAAATCACCTCCTTATTGTAAGAAATGTTACACACGCAATGTTTCCCCTTCTGACTACACTGTGAGACAATACAGTCAAGTATAACATTAACATATTGTGTGTAACTTTGTCACCATTTTTAAAACACATTCTGTGTATCATTATCAAAATCTAAATATTATATGTATCACACAACATATTGACTGTGTGTATCCAGGGCTCTCACACCACTTTTTGGGACTGGGGCCGGGGCCGTTCAAATTGGGAAAATTATCGTCATTTTGGGAAAAGTTGGATAACACAAATTCATTAAAAAAAAATCCTCAAATTTTGCTTTTCTAGCATTTTATCATCAATGCTAACTCTGGTTTGAATAAACAGTTAAACAGAACAAACATGGGTACGTAGGCTATTTATGAAAGTACATTAGCTTTGTCATTACTACTGTAAACCAACTTTTATTCGCGTGCGAGAAATTTTCGCGAGGTTCGCGAGAGCCTCGTCATCGCGAGTTCAAAGTCTCTTTTTCTATTAAAAACAGTTCCAAAAACGGCTTGATCGCGAAAATTAATCGTCGCGAATTAGTTTACTCTCGTTAAATCGCGAAATAAAGTCGACGCGAATAAGAGTTGGTTTACAGTATCTTTGAGTGTTGATATTGCGGTTATATGTCTTACTGCGTGACAGTCGCTAGTCACATAGTCCCGAATTTCCTCGATCACATGGGCAACTTTGCTTACCAATACAGCGCGAGACTGAACATGCCGAAGCGCGGGTATGTTTCTAGGTGCAGCTTACTAATGTTTAAATGAAATGTCTATTTTTGAAACCAAAATGCTGGTTTTTGTCGAAACTACATAACAAGATACTCTGCACTCATAGTTGTATACATTTTTGTAAAAACAATAACCTGGTTCCCCGAACCAGTTTACGAATGCATTTGGCGCGAACTAATAAAATAGTAGTACAGTTTCACTTTCATTTGCAAATGTGTTTTGTTTGGGTTTTTTTTTTTTTTTTTTTTGCGATTAGGTTTGAACAGTTGATGGACTTTTATTTTTTAATTAATATTTTACTCTGGATGGAAATTGGGAAATTTACACCTTTCTTTTGGGAAAAAAGGTACCTTTTTTGCATTGGGAACGGGGCCGTTGAACGGCCCCAATTTTAGAGAATCGAGAGCCCTGGTATCATACGTTATATTGCAAAACAACTGTAAAATCATCATTCTTTGTGAGGACCAATGTTTTAGAACATTAAACCATAGATTTTTCAATAAGTTGATTCATTGAATCTTCCATAATATTTAATATACAATTATTACTGATACTGGACTCTGTCAGACAATAGGCGGGATAAGCTAATCTCAATCAATAGAACTGACCATATGGACAATAGCATAAGATACATTATAACACTTGTCAAAAAAATAAAAGGTATCACAAAAAAAATCTTTGTGTTCTTGGGAATTGTTTGCCCTCAATCACTAAATGTATGGTATTTATACCATTAAAAATTGTGTTCAATATAACATTTATCATGTTTATTGTCTTTACCAATTTGTAACATATTGTGTTGATCACATGACACACTATGTTATTGTGGGTATCCTGCTTTTACAGTAAATATTATACATCTATGGTTTACTTTTACAGTAAATACTACATTTCTTGTTTACTAGATGATTTCTGTTTCTTCAGACAAGGAAGACTTACAATGAACCAATACATGCTGCCCTATATATAAAGATAAAAATACTTCTGTTCCATTTATAAAACAATATTAAGTATTTATAAGTATATAAAGTAGTAAGTAGTTAGTACATGTACATACAATATAATACACACATTATCGTATGTAAATGTTTATTCAGTATGCCTCTTATATATATGTCCTGAGAAATTCACGAATAGGAATTAAGCAAATCTCAATAAAATTGACATGCAATACAATATAACTGTATGATAATATTGAATGAATGAACTTTTTGATGTAATAAGCCTTTGCACAGGAAATTTAAAAATCCTTCAAACCCTCGTACTATTTTGTACATGAATAGGAAACTATTTAATCAATCCACTTATAGATGTTATCACAGAGATGTGGACTTTTGTCTATATATCTCTGAAAATCATTAATAAAGAAGAGGGTACTATTAGCATGGTTCAATGATGTAACATACATCACATAGCACACTATGTGTGGAGCGCTCAACACTAGAAGTGAAAGTCATGGCCGGGTCTTTCGGACATGACCTTAAATACGTAGGTCCCCGTGTCACAGTAGGCATTGGCATGATAAAGAACCCTCACTGCTCAATGGCCCTGAGTGCCAAGTATAGGTCTAAATTTTAAGCCCTTCACTGGCATACGGTGACGTCTCTGTATGAGTGAAAAATTCTCAAACGGGACGTTAAACAATATACAATCAATCGTAAGATTTGTTCATTAGTAAATGCACACAGAAGTATACATGAACATATCATCATGTGATTGTATATCAGGCATCAACAGCTTCAACATAATATATTACATCTGACAATTTATATCTGCTTTGTGTGATGTCTATTGAATACTAGAGAATGTGTATGGATGTGACATGCATCTGGCCAGGGTCAAAATAGGCACACACCATAACCTGTTAGCATTATACTCACCATTTAGTGAAAAAAATAAGTACAACTTGTTCAGTACATAGGTATAGTGATCAAAGTTTTTTTTTTTTTTTATCCCTAGCATTATATTCTAAACAATTCTATGTTTAAATTTACGATGATAGCAAACACTGATAATAGTCCAAGTGATTTTACATAGGATAGGATAATGATTCTGTATCCCATATCTTACATACATTAAAAAAAATGCTTAAATCTACATCTTCAATATACTAAATTTATAATCTTTAAATTCAAAAAACATTGAACTGACATAATTTCAATTACGATTCTTAAATAGACTGTCAGAATGTGTACACTGATTCTGATAATTCTTATTCTATGTCATCCCGGGTCATAGCAGCAGCAGTAAGGAAGTCAAAGCCAAAAGAATATATTCTCTTTAAAAAAAAACTTGTCTTGCATGTATACAAAACTATCCTAGACAAAACAGATAACTGAAGATGATAAATCTGTCTTTACATGTTAAATTGGCTTGAAGTTTAAAGTCTAAAGTTTTATCAAGAAAATGCAACATAAGTGTGCACCTGAAGTTCATCTAAAACTGCTGTACGTAGATACTGCATATCACACACCGCGGTAATGTAAAAATATCAACCAAAGAAAAACTGTTTTACATTTCTGTGAAATGATTTAAATTATTGACTAGCATAACAATGTATCACATCTCTCCATTTACTTGATTGATATAAGAAATATTACCTTTTTGAACTGTACATATATCCAGTATATATAGACAGAGAAGTAAATCTACCTATAGATCTCTCAGAAAAACACTGCTGTCAGATCCACAAGACTGTGAGCTGCCAGCATCCAATAGATCTGTAGTTCTCGGCTTCACAGTAGGTAGTCTATACTGTGTTATAATATGTATACCATATCATTCTATATCCCAACTTGTTTGTTCCGTATTCAAATGCTTCAACAAATCAATAAACAGCCAATGACAAATGGTCACCAGTCCTGGAGGCCTTTGTTTTTACTGTATATACCAGATCTCCTTGTTTTAAAATAACAGGCCCTTGTTATACACTGAAAGTAGGGCAGTGATTTAACATTTAATATCCAGCATTTTTGTCCCAATTTACTAGGAATTACTAGCATGTAGTGCCTGTAAAATAGCTCATTAAACCAGGATCTTACTGATTAACAGATATACATGTAAACCACTCTAATCACAACACCAGGAGTACACAATCAATTAATATGATGGTCACATATGTTAACCTCCAGTCATTAATTATTACACTGATGAAGATTTAAGGAATAATGGAGATTATTGCACCTTTCAATGAGTTCATAAATATATGATGTACAATATTCTAACTCTTAATCGTGTCAGATTTAGCAGCATTGTGTTGACAGTGTTAGGAATACCTGAAGCAGGTGTCAATATCAGAAATTGTACCTCCATGTCCTTGACCTTAAATGACCTATTGGCACTCATTAAATCAGATACAAGTCTAGGGGTTTTACAATATAGCTGCAGAGCTGTAGCTCTCTAGAAGTTTTAAACTGTACACAGCCCCACCTGTCATCGCATTAGTCTTTGAGAATGTTGAGAGACAATACAGCTACAGATAAAGGTTTTATGACATTCTCAATAAGAAATGGAAATTACTTAAATTATGCAATCAAACACATGAAAACTATATCTCATTAATACATGACTGTTGTACAGGAAAATGAAATTCCACAATTTGACAGGTTTTTCAATATTCACTATTCAGACAATTTTCTTCATAATACGTACCACTTAATACTAATAGTCTGGATAAATTCTAGTTTGGCCAACATACATGATTTTAACCGTGAACAACTGAACATCTACAACATGTATATTAACTTTACCTCATGATAATATAAATTTGGTAGGCCTAACTTAAAGATTTTAAAAAATGGACACACCAAATTTGATCAGAAACTAGACATGTAAACTAATCATTACATGTATTACAAAGGATTTAATACCTACCCTTTCTAAGTCTGATTCAAATACATGAAAACCTAGTTTTGCACTTTAGCTTACCTGTTCTAGGTTTTTATCCTCTGAAGATTTGCTATTTCATACTTTGGAGTCGTTCCTATAACAATCCGTGTACAGAATAAAACACTCTTTATTTTGATGCAAAAGCCTGCCACAGGGTATTATGGGTAAACAAAGCCTCTATAATATATCCAATTGCTTCCTTAGGGTATCAATATCTTTTTGCTTTCCTACCATAGGTCAAAAATATCGTTCCTGTATCGTGTCACATGACCTAAAAATAAGACAAAATACAATGACACAGATATCAGAGATTTTTTCTACACGCTGGAATGCAATACCTTAAATACGTAAGCTAAGGTTGTCTGGCGAAATATACAATACAGATCATTGGACCATAGCAAGGTTGACATTTAAATTGCATGAAGCGTGATGTTTGAAAAGCTAAGAATACCCTTAAATAGGTTCATGTATTGTGAATGAAGTGAATCATTTAACAATAAAATGGGCATTGAACAAGTTGAAAGGAAGTATAGGTAAATTCTAATAATACCTTTTGACTGATTATTATATATTTATGTAAATATTATTGGATTTCAAGGTCCTTATATACATGTATAATGAATCGGAAATGATATCTTTTAGTACGAAATGAAGCCCAGGTCTAGCAATGCCTTGTTGCCTCTGTACATGGGTATTTCCTTTCAATACCCGGCCATTTTTATGTTCAATGATTCACAAACCTTCCATTTAATAAAACTAGAACTGTCCAAACGGGACAAAATACCCCCCGCTGGGTTTTTCAGAAGTAAGTTTTTCCATAATAAAGATATGTATCACACATGAATTATGAAATTTTTCTTCCAGTGACCTTGAAGTTCCCCAAATGACCTTTGGTCAAGGTCATGACACATCCTTGGTTCATGGGCAATCTTTGTGTGAAATGAGAACCTACAAAGTTTATCCATTAGAAAGATATGGACCAGACACGAATTATGAAATTTTTCTTCCAGTTACCTTGAAGTTCCCCAAATGACCTTGGGTCAAGGTCAAGACACACCCTAACATCATGGGCAATCTTTGTGCGAAATGAGAACCTACCAACTTTATCCATAAGAAAGATATGGACCGGATACGAATTATAAAATTTTTCTTCCAGTGACCTTGAAGTTCCCCAAATGACCTTGGGTCAAGGTCATGACACACCCTTGTGTCATGGGCAATCTTTGCGTGAAATGAGAACCTACCAACTTTATCCATAAAAAAGATGTGGACCGGACACGAATTATGAAATTTTTCTTCCAGTGACCTTGAAGTTCCCCAAATGCCTTGGGTCAAGGTCATGACACACCCTTGGGTCATGGGCAATCTTTGTGTGAAATGAGAACCTACCAAGTTTATCCATAAGAAAGATATGGACCGGACACGAATTATGAAATTTTTCTTCCAGTGACCTTGAAGTTCCCCAAATGACCTTGGGTCAAGGTCATGACACACCCTTGGGTCATGGGCAATCTTTGTGTGGAGTAGTAGATTCTAATGTCCCTCCGTAAGAAAGATATGGACCGGATACATTTGCACAGACTGACGGACAGACGGACAAACTTCGTTTGTGGGGGATAATAACTATCAGTAACATTCTCTCTTTATTTTGGACAACATTATTATATGTTTATATATGTCTAGCATTGTCTGATCATCACCAGGTTATCACTCTCACTGCACTACATGTAATTCTGTAAATGCATGTGACTGTATATATGCACACCTCTATACTATAAAATATCCAAGGCCTGCAACTGGGCGCCATTGTGGTGCATGGGACCTTGATGACTTACTTTAAGGGTTTCTGGGGTATACTGGGCTGGTTATCAGCATCGGGTACTGTAATTTATTGAAATAAAATATTTGCAAACTTTTATCCAGCACCATTCCGTTGCTTTCTCTTGTTTTCAAACATTTCTCTATTACACCGTCACACTTAGCTGATCTCGGCCGGAAGAAGTCGATTTCGTCGATTTTCAACAACTCGTACGAAAATAACTTTCGGAAGTTTGACAATATTTGTGTGCTTGTTTCAGGATGGTGTATGTTGTGTATTATGTGTTTTTTGGTTTGTCTGAATACCCTCATTAAATAAAAATGAAAACTCGCTGAAATTAGCACGTTTTAAAAATGTCATATGTACAGTATATATACTCTCATAGGCACGTACATGTAGCATCGTTTTTGAAAGTGAGGGGGGGGGGGGGGCTGCTTGAGAGAAACATTTTTTTTTCACTTACCTGTAAAAGTTGACGAGCCGAAAAAAAAAACGCTCAAACACGAAAATCCTATTTTCAATAGTGGCCAATTTTTTTCAAAGCAAACTTCCTTTCACTTTCATTTTTTTTCCCATACAATAGTACATTTTCCTTCATATCGCAATACTATGGTAATAAGTGTGTGTGTGTGTGGGGGGGCAACCTACCTTTCAATGCACATTTTCAACAGTAAAGGTAATGTTGGGAAAAAAGTAGGGGCTGGCAACCCCCCCCCCCCCCCCCTTGTTGCTACGTGCCTGTCTAGCTCATACGGACTTGTGTAGAGAAAATAAATCAGTTAGAAAAATCAGTACCTCTTTCCGAGATAATATTTTTTATATTTTCTCAAAGAGTATCACAGGGGCTTGTGTACAGAAACAAAAAAAATGTACCCCAGAGAGAGAAAAAAAACTCCGAGGAATATGACATTTTTAAAACGTGCTAATTTTCAGCGAGTTTTCATTTTTATTTAATGAGGGTATTCAGACAAACCAAAAAACACATAATACACAACATACACCATCCTGAAACCAAGCGCCTATGTACTTTCCCCACTAAATATTGTCAAACTTCCGAAAGTTATTTTCGTACGAGTTGTTGAAAATCGACGAAATACTTCTTGCCGAGATCAGCTAAGTGTGACGGTGTAATAGAGAAATGTTTGAAAACAAGAGAAAGCAACGGAATGGTGCTGGATAAAAGTTTGCAAATATTTTATTTCAATAAATTAGAGTACCCGATGCTGATAACCAGCCCAGTATACCCCAGAAACCCTTAAAGTAGTCAGTAGGTCCCAGGCGAAATCCACAATGGCGCCCAGTTGCAGGCCTTGGATATTTTATAGTATAGAGGGGGTAGACCTATATATACTTATCATACGTCATTTACAGAATTACATGGGGAGCGCCTATGGAATTACTACATTTTTAGATCAAATGCCAAGGTCTTTACATTTACCATGTTTATGGTTACATTTCAGTAATTTAATTTAGAATTCAGAATTCAAAGCTTAAACCAAGTCTAAGAATGCATCCTTAACAGCTTAACAAGGCCAGCATTTTTTTATTTTTAGGTTTACAAACCCGCCGCTCAAGTTTTTGAATTTTCAGAAAAAAAATAAAATTGAGAAAAACAGAATTTTTTCTTTCCGATGTCAAATTTATCGAGAATTCAAATTTACGAACTCATCCGGTTTTAAACATGGCGGGTAATCAATGAAGGGAGATTTGTGTCAAGTCCATAGCAGCACTAAATTTTTAATGTAAATATTTAATAGGAGGGCCATTCAAAACGTTTCACCCGTTCAGAGAACAATAAAATGCTGACGACTTTGTTGCAAAGTGACATGTTGGTGAGATAATTATGTATCCGTATTCAAAAGTAACTGTCTGTAATTGTAAATTATTTTCCTCCCACAGGTTTAAAACTGCCCATGGTAGCTATTGTCAGAGACATTGTTTAGGTTTCTGTCATAGCTTACAGTCTTAGCATCATTCTTAGAAAAAGTTTCAAAGTTGCATGAACATTGAGGAAGAAATAAAGAATAGCCTAAAGAAATGAAATATTTCAACTATTAAAAAGCAAGACTATACAAATATATACAGGCATGTAATATCGTTTGTGGCAGCCAGAAAAATTATTTTACCCTAAACTGAAAAAAATTCCATTTTTACTCCTCAATATGTCTGTTTTATGAAAGGAATTATTACTTTTAAAGGTCTCAAGTATATTAATATTTTAGAATAATTTCTACCTAACACACATTAAAAACAAAAATGAAGATATATTAAAAGAGATTTAAAAAAAATGATTTTTAAAAAAAAAAAAAATCTGTATTTTGTCCAACATCAAAAGATTTATATCACTGCCCCCAACAACAGGTAGATGATGAAATAAAGAATTAAAGTTGTATTTTCCCCTTTGTAACCCTTATGCGTCCAGTGGCAAGAAGCCTGTTAGGAGAGCATAAAAAAGAAGCAAAAATTAATGTAGAAAAGTCGATAATGTATCCAAAATATAATTTTATTTTTTTTTATTTCCTCCTCCTACGGGACTTTTTCATTCTGATGTTCGTAAACCTAAAAATAAAAAAATGCTGGCCCAACTTAGATAAACAGACAAACAGACAGGAACAGCACTAATTGCTTTACAAGCTGGCTGACATTTCAATATTTCACTTATCAATTTTTTGTGTATTTAAGCAGCATTTTTCATAACTACAATAAGGACATAGTGCAGCTTACTAAGAACATGTAAGTACTTCCTCAGTTTATTTTATATGTTATATATTACATGTACTAAGTAAATATTGCTGTGTGAGAATTCCTCATAGCTCAGAAGAACTAAGCTCAGCTCAGCACACTTTTCTGAATGTTCAGGAGTGGCCAACACTATTGAAAAAAGATACATGTACAAAATGCCAGTAAATCTATGCAAGCAGGATCTTGTTACTATTACCATGGTAATTATGCTTAACATGAATTAGATACCACTTAACATATTAAAACTATATTAAAGAATTGATCAACAGCATTTTAAGATTATCAAGAATTAGACAGTCATAAATATTTAGAGTTGTGCCAGGTTAGTATCAAATAATGGTACAAATAGAAGTGGTTACCAGCACTGACCAAGCAGAGGGAATAAGATAATGGTCCTATAGCAAACTCATCAAAACTTATCTCAGACTGGATAACGTTCATCTTCCTAGGAAATCCTAACATCTTATCAAATTCACTGTTTACCAAACTCCTCAATATCAGCTCAAACAATACCGTTATATTAATGGAGCTTTCCACAATCATCTCTCCAAAGGAAAATCCATGAATTTTTCATGCTCGCCAACAGTGAAAACTGGAGATGATTTCTGACTCTTGCTTCAGCAATATTTCCCAGAGTGAGAGCCCAGTCTGCAGTAGATATATATATATATACACTCCTAAGTAAACAAGTGGTGAAACCATCCACATGAATATTCACCAAGTGCCCGATCAGTTACTCTTTTGATGTTGGAGATTATTTGTGAATGCATTACATACATTTAATGTACACAATAACCAGAACTGACACATTCAGTTTATATATCATACCTGTAGTGCATTACATGTTGTATTCATAAAGCATACACAGCGAGATGTTCTACATTAAAGAGATAAAGGAGGATCATATATACGCTACAGGGACCCCTCTAGTTAATTGATAGTATACAATCAATCCCAGAAAGAGGAGAAAAAGAAACAAACTCAGATAAAAATTTATGACCGCAGGAGGCATGTGTACACAATGTTTAGAAATATTTAAACCTTTAGCAAACTTTATTGGTGTTATAAAAATAACAGGGGGGACAGGGAGAATTTCCATTAAATGTTTTCCCATCATACAATTAGAATAAAAACAATTTATTTACATAGTGAATGTATAAACTGCTTTTTAAATGTCAAAACACTAAAAAAAAATTTGATTATTCATGGTTAGGAAATTATATTGCCCTCATTAAGTTTGTTTCATCTGTATATTGCTGTGATTCATGTCTTGTTAATTAAGCACAGTCTCTCAGTGGGGCAGGTCTCTCTGTGCAGCACAGCATCAATTTGTTTGGTAAATTAAAGTTTCACAAGGCCATTTTCTAATGTGTGCATTAATTTATGTTCTATAGAGGTTCTATAGATAGAACTATAGATAGAACCTATTCATTTTTTATTTTCATTTTGAAGATTTCTTGATGATGTTCCATAAGGGAGCTTATCTTGATTAATTTGAACAAATCTGCATGCCCTTCATATGAAAAGTTTACAGACCTGATCAATTCTCAGATAGCCACTGGGGCATTACTAAGGTGCGTACAAGACAATGACAACAATTTTTAATCAGCCATTGGCTCAGAGGACCTTAATAATGAAGCTCTTTCAATGGATGAAAAATACTTAATCAATTCAACAGAATTTACCTGTATTCCTCTCTCTCTACCTTCTTTGTCCTTGGAAATAAGAAATATCAATTACATATTTCTCAGAATACATACTGAAAATAAAAATGAATAATCAATGTTCAGATATCAAACCAACTGAGAGCTATTGGAATGAGGAAGAAACCCTAGCCACTTCATCTCTCTAGTCCTCTACAGAGAATCCTTCAATAAACACGCCCCTCAGCTCTTATTCTGCTGACTCGGGAATAATCCCCTCACAATTAAAATTCACACAATAATAAAGGCAAAATGAAGGGACTTTCATCTAATAATCAAGACCTCTGTGTTATTGCAGCCCGGAGGACCAGGCTGCTCTATACATATAAGTTTAATTGTTGGTGTATGGGGATTGGTGTGGGAGTAGTTATTCAGAATTAATGGTTTTTTAAACACTGAATTGTTTGTTAATCAGAATGTTCTTTCCCTTTATAAATTACGAGATACATAATATCTTTACGTCCATAAAGTGAATCTGTAAAAATATATATGTTTTTCATATTTAATATGTAAAGTTGCTAATCATTTACTATCGAAAAAACGACAGGTCCCTTTTTTTAGAATATCAAATTTTTATTCTCGCATAAAAACGTACTATGCACGGTTCGTGTTTTATATTCTAAAATTGTAAATTAAATACATTTTTGAATATAGGTGATGCATGTGTCTAACTTAAATTTATATTTTATGCAGCCAACATTTACTTGAGGAATTGATCAAGTTTAAAATGGTATCGTTTTGGTATGATTTTTATCCGACTATAAGTTTTCAAAATATTCGCGACTGTCGTCTCCATCAATTAGATGCATGTCTTTTCACATATATCAAAGCGGTTTGATGATCAAGACTCATTTTCATTGTTTACTTTATATATTTCCCGGGCGACAATTGATGGGTACATCAATGTTTTCTTGTATGTAATGTACCAGGTATATTAATTAAGAGTGAAACGATTCACTGTGGTATGCATTTTCTTCTTGCAAAGAACAACAACTGAGCATAGGTACATGTATTATGTTTATATGATGTGTTTATGCGTATACGAATTTAGTGATGATATAATTGGTTGAACACAACTGTGACAAAAAGCGAGCTTCTGCTCCAAGAGCCCCACAAGAAACCATCACGTATGACCCTTCTCTTCCCACCCTCAGACGAACATGGCCGATGTGACAGAAGACAACAAAGATGTCTGAATCAGATGCTGACCACCATTTACAGGTTAACTTGTAACAATACAGCTTCCAAGTTCCAAGTCAAACATTTTTTTACAGTCTAAACAATCATTGCATTTTTTTTTTAAAAACTCATTTATACCTATCCTGATGGTTTTCTTTTAAAATTCAAATCATATTTCAAAGGAGAAAACATTATCACTTATGTTTTCAGACCTCTAGGAATACTATAAGTTCAAACTCATTTGACAACTTCAATATTTGTCCTGTATATCAACAGAAGATTCAATCTCTCTCTCAATATGCAGTCATTCAGTGCACATTTTTTCCCCAAAAGCTACCAGAGAATAATGTTTCCATCAGGATTTTGTCACAATTCTTTACAATCTTTTTTCCTGCCTACTTTTTACAGTGCCAAGTATCTGCTTGGATGTGTTAATTTCAATCAACCATTGACCACTTGCATGCTATTTTCTCATTTAACAAAGTCCATTTATAGGATGTAGTTCAGTGCTGCTGAGACTTAACTTGGTGGGTGATGGATTTTATAGCCCACATATCTGCAATTCAAACCCTGATGCGTTTTTAAATCTGGCATGTTTTTTTTTTAGATGCAAATGAAGATATTTCTATGTTCACACTTTTTTCATGCAACATGGCATCCAGTAGCAGATTTATAGGGGGAAAAGGCTCATTTTACCCTCCAACAGCACTACATCCAGTACCCTCTGGACCCCACTAGGGTTTTGCCCTGGACCCTCCCCCCCCCCTCCCCCCCCCCCCCGAGAACCTCAAGGCTGCCCCCAGACAACCTGCCTCCTTATTGCACCGACCTTAAATTCAATTCCTGAATACAAACAGCAGGAAAAAAATTGTTTACATTATTAACATTCAAAGATTATTTATACCATTTTGTAATTAAGAACATCAGCATTCAATTTCTTTGAATCAATGAGAGGGTTTTAATTGTTAATAATTTGTGGTACAATTGAATTGTCTACAAAAATTCACACTCATGTCCTTTACAAAAGTTTGAAATTATTGCCTATATATCTATCATAAATGAAAGGGTCGCCTGCATGGCGCAGTGGATATCATGTCCTCTACAAAAGTTTGAAATTATTGCCTATCTATCACAAATGAAAGGGTCGCCTGCGTGGCGCAGTGGATAGAGCGTCTGCTCTAGAGTCACAAAGTAAGGAGTTCATCCTTACGTAGCTGCAATAATGTAGCCCTCTCCCTTTTTTTTTTTTTTTTTTTGGGAGAAAACATCAGATTAAAAAAATCGGAGAGGGCTACATTATTGCAGCTAATCCTTACGTAGCAGGTTCGTATCTTGCTGTGGGATGTGGAGACTGGTCCTTTGGATGAGACCGTGTACACCGAGGTCCCGTGTCACAGTAGGTGCTGGCACGAAAAAGATCCCTCACTGCTCAATGGCCCTGAGTGCCAATATAGGACAATATTTGCAGTTCTCCACCCAGCAAGTGTTGGCGTCTCCATATAGTAAAAAATTCTCAAGAGGGACGTTAAACAAACATACAAACAAATAAAGACAAATGAAAGCGTTTCCTCCAACAACAAAATAATTACCCTGTAAAAATAAATTATCTTACGTCAAAGAATTTGAGATGCAAGACTTTCATTCATGCTTTTGACAATAGAAATGATGAAAATATATACTTTTATATTCATTACCAAAATATATCATGTATGATATTCCAATAAATGTATAGACTTGCAGAAATTTGCATTAATAATATACTCTCTAATTGAATGATAGTGTGATAAAACCTTTGTTTACGAGTCCTAAAATACCCCAGCATCCTACACCTCGTACCATTAAACCGTCCTCATCAAAAGAGATAATTATATCTTGAGAGAAAGTACATCAACAATACAATGCCTTTCTACCGACTAATTTGTGGTTCAATTTCCTCTTATATATATGTATATATGTGTACTTAATACTGTCATAAAAAAACCTCCCTAGTTGATCACAGAGTGACAGAAGCTTCTGACGAAGATCAATAGCTTTTTTAATATTTTCTCTGAATTACAGGTTTGGAAACAAAGTTCATTGCTTTTCTGATTCCATGAATAGTAGGGATTTTTCAAACAAAACCTCTTTAATGAAATAATAAATTATAATCAACAGTCTCTTGATGGAAGAAGATTATTGGTTAACTTGAAATATAATGAAAAAAATAAATTAAAATAGTGAAATTCAATGTAAAACTCTAAAGTTGTATTTTTTAAAAAGATTATTATCTTGACTATGAATAAGTTATGAATTACATAATGTAAATGATCTTGCTGTATGTGGTGACTTTAAGGAAAACATGTGAGAATGATAAGTTGTATAGAGAAGTATAGGCAATTATTTGTGATCTTGATTTACTTAAATATGCAATGTGTATGCTATGATTTTCTGTACTATTCTGAATTATTTGTGTACCATATTTTAATAAGAGAAAACAAAATTCTCTGAATAATCATCACTGAAACCCCTCATTTCTCATTCATTGCTGCTTTACATGAATATCATTATGATAAATTCCTGCAAGTAAGCTATGGAACGCCATAGCTGCCTTAAGGTATGGTACATAATGTAATATGGTGTGTTCTATATAATAAAGGGTTGAATCAATATAATAAATGGTCACCACTTCTTGTTTAAGGGTGAAGCGCACATAATACATGGTGCGTTCAATATAATAAAGGGTCGGTTCTTTATGTTACATGGTCACCACTCCTTGTTATACGGTGAAAGATACATTATAAA